TGGCTTACTCAATGGGGGGTCCTTACGAGGCAGAAATGTAAAGCGCATTGAGACAATGTAATGTTGTGATAATGCGCTATATAAATAAAATTGAATTGAATTGAATGTGCATAATCAGACTTGTATGTGTAATGAGAATTGCAAATCTTCGAAAACTGCCTGGTTACGATATGAGCCTTCCAGTTTTGCCTGAACGGATTTATCTCCCCAAATACTTATTAAATCCAACACCTCACTGTCCCTCCACTGGCCAACTTCTGTGCTCTCTTCCATGTTTGGCACTCTGACGGAGACATATGGTGACTTCCGCCTGTGCAGAATTGTGACGAACGTCGATCGAGAGTGACGTAAAAGTCGCATAAATTCCGATTTCGCTGTTCAGACTGAGGTCGCATTGCAAAAAATCAGACCTGTATCCAATTTATGAGCACATACTGAAGTGGTCCAAATCGGAATTGAAAAAAATCGGATTCCATGTGACTTGTGCTGTTCAAAATGCGATCTGAGTCACATATGAGCAAAAAAAACGGATTTGGGCCACATTTCTCCTGCAGTGTGAACGTAGTCTTACTCTTTCAAAATGTCAGCATGTGCAGCTGCGAACACTCCTCTGTAAGGAAGCTGGACGTAACTTAAGCTACGAAATAAGACGCTACGAATAAGAAGCTAAACGAATCGGAAGCTGCACATAAGTAGCTAACTTACGCTGCGTGTGACTTTGCCATTTGTTTGGGCGACAAGGTTGACCATGGCCAAGAAACACGAAAACAACAGAATCGGCAAACGCACTGAGAAAGCGCAGCAGTGATCCATAGCTCCACCCACCGCTCCGCTCCGATTAACATATATTTGCATGTAGTGAACTTGAAAACGAAAAGGCAAAGCAGAAAATGAAAAGTCAAATTGGAAAAAAGTCAAACTGGAAAATGAAAAGACAAAAAGGGTTTTTAATTTTATTTTTTCACATACGACTCATACATGAGTGGAAAATTAAAATGCAAATGGTGCTATTTCATTTTAATTTTTGCAGGATTTTTGTGCACAGACTTTGGAAACTAAATGGTTATTGCTTATTGTATTTGCTTTTTATCATTTTTATTTTATTTTTTTGCAGAAAATACCTCCCATATTGCAGTACTGCCTCCAAGGAACTGCAATCAGACTGAGTTCCGATGATCTTGCTCACACACACATATTCATACACATAAACACCAATTCTCACTCTCTCCAAGTTTCAGGTGATATATGATGATGTGGTCAGCCACTATATGGGGGGCACATTTGCAAGTTGCACTGGTGTGCCTACTTATAAAATTAATCACACTGTCTGGGGGCAGCATGTGGCTCACTAGGCTAAGCCTGTGTGCCTGTAATCACAAGGTTGCTGGTTCAAGCCCAGCCTCAGTATGTCTGTGGCTCCTTGAGCAACACGCTTGACCCTTTGCAGCCAGCTTACTCTACAAAGAGCAAGTCAAGGGAGGCTTAAAGACAAGGTATCAATTATTATCATCTTCAGAAATGGTCACAGTCTGGAACCCTGCAGAGCCACAATTTTTATTGCTTAGGCATTTTTTACGCTACACAAAAACAAGACAAACAAGTTTGTCTCTATGCATATGTTTTTCCTTCGGGCCTCTATGACATGTTCATGTAACATTATGTTAGACAGCCAATTACCAAGAACTATAAATGTTTACACTAGTATATTGCATGCTTATTAGCTCATAGACACTAAGATTTACTATTTGGATATTGGAATTTGGCACCGAAAAATAATTAATTTTTCAATCCTCAATAGGATCAGAGCTTTTCGGTTGGTACCACGAAAGTAGTTTGGTACTTAGCCCTAGACAAAACTAAGTGGAAATATGCTTTACTAGAATAGATTTACACTACAGTTCATTCAAGTTTGTATTAAAAAAAAAAGGTCCAACAATTGATGTTTGAACAATAAATAAAACTTTTACAAAGCAACAATTAAGGTAAGGATGACATAATTATGAGAAATCCTCCTACCATGAAACTTCAAGAAACAACCGACTTGGTTTAAGACATTCAATGTCCCATTCTGCAACATAACGAGAGAATGCTTCCACCACCATAGCTGCCACGGGTCTGACTTCTCCAAAGCCTGACGTATTGTGATCAGTCGTTGAATCATTTTAATAAAGTAGGGCTGTGCGATATAACCAAAATCTATTATCCAGATATAGGTCTTCTCATATCCCAAAAATGATATCACAGCTGCACCTCATGTTTATGGATTTTTTTTATACATATCAGCTGCAGTAGGAATTGAATAAAAAGGAGTGAGATCACAAATATAACGTGATCCACAAAGATGGGAAGTGACCCACAAATATGCAAAACCCTTTTCATGGGTACAAATTGCTTCATATTTTTGTGGATATGATTTTACACTACACAAATAAAAATATATATTTGTAGATTGTGATGTACTTGTGATTGCTTTCTATAGATCAGCTGTGGTATATGGAGCCCCTAAGAGGTCTGAGTTCTTATACAATAGTTTTGCATTCCCTCACAAATTTTTTTTTTTGTCTGTTTAACCTTGCTGTGAGGGCTTCCTGATCAGGGACTTGTGGCTGACTCATGTTTTGCTTATGTTCCACACAAAAATAAAAATAAAATAAATAAATGTAACGTTTTTAAACATTATTAAACTATAAACATAAATTTTGGACGTTATTTTCGATTTAACTATATTACTAAACTTCCACTGGCTAATCATGGTCAGAAAAATCGTGAGCTTCCACTGTTCATTCCAAAACAATGTCCCAAATTCCCATCCCTTATGCCACATAATTAATTGACTATATCATGTTCTTAAAGTGGCAGACACCCTTTAGACATATTATTAAACAAACAAAAAAAAGTACTGAGACATTAATAACAAAATAAAACATAACTAAATATTATACCTAACTATATAAACTCCTAAGAGACATTTGGCTCCTACACTCACAATACTTTTCTGTTACTAATTCCGTTACTGTACTGTGTACGTTTAAATTACAAAACACAAAGTTAATGGACAAATAAGTATAAACCTAAACAATACAGATATGTTCAGTTAAGTGTGCTTTAAGCATTAAACTACAGGGGACAAGGCACATTGTCATATGTGTTTTTTAATGTATTTATGAATAATTTCACTGTATCCATTCACCATCAGTGATTGTAAACAAGACAGCTGAGCTACTGAAGGTGAAGTGCACACACCAACACTGAAATAATTAAATTTTGCCCAAAAAGAAATCTGGAAAAACAAGGGGTGTTGCTTGCTTTTGTTGAAAACTGAATATAAAGCTTACCACGGTGTCATAGTTAAGGTTTAAACCTGAACCCACATTCGTATTGTACCGGAAAGCTGGCGACCGGCCAAATATTTTGCCCATCATCTAAAGCCCTGGTGATTATTATGAATGTGCCATATAATCGCAAGTACATTGCAATGTGATATCATGCAGCCCTAATTTCCTTATGTAGGAAAATTACAGGCATATCATAATACTACAGTTCACGTGTGCATATTGAACCATTGGGGGAGTACCAAACACTTTGATAATATACCGTGTACCGTAGGGTGCATCAAACCCCCATTGATTTTCAAAATGTTTTTGGCTGTATAATAAATATGTTGTACCGGATAAAAAAATAATTTGGGCAAAATTTCGTTAATTTTGATTAACATCTACCGGGTCCACATCTAGATTGAAAATATGAAAAATAATGATAAACGCAAGAAAAACGAAGGTACTTCAGAAGTTCACAAATATATTTTAAATGCACAAATTAAATTATTAAATTATTGTGATACATGTCTGATGTCTGATATAGTTGGTACAGG